ACGCGCGCGTCCAAATAAGTATGCCTGCCTAAGGGCCATTTGAATACCCACCCTTCGGTCGATGCGGCAAAGATCTCGCGGGTGACATCCCCTCGGGCCATTGCAAGACACCAATAACAGAACACTTGAACCTGCCCCGCAATCCCACTGATGCAGCTGTCACCAGTGTCTCAACATTGGATTTATTTTTCCACAGCACTAAGTTCGCAATGACGAGTACCTCCGGGCCTATAATATAAAATTTATTTATTTAAGCCCTCTCAGGTCTGGTTGGACGCAATGAGCACTAGCCCTGGCTTTGCCAGTGGTCACTCCCTCTGAGACCGCAATTGGGATTCCGGTACATAATCAATCTCTCCTTCTGTTGACTTATGTCTTTTAATTTACAACCCAGGATTCGGCCTGATGCTTGTAGTGACCTGAGTACAACCCACTACGTAGACTCCTAAAGAGTAACCACAATCACAAAATCTGAAGTTTCTGGGATAGCCATAAGCAATCATCAAAAGAGCCAGGTATGGCTCTCGAGGCATAGATAGTTGACCCCGGGCTTAGAGGAACGAAGAATGCATCCAAAATTGTCTTTATTTTGGGACTTGAAGAAAAGATGCAAAGCAGTAAGTCCTAGGTAATAAGAAGACACTGATATCATCGGCAAAAAATTTTTAAGGTAGCTGTTATACAGAGAAAACGGACACCAGCACAATTATTAGTGTGGTTCTGACGGTAAAAGTCGTATAAATCTATGATAAACGAAAAGGTAAGAATTAAGGCATTGGTACAAAATATAGTTATGCATATAATAACGGGCGTCCACACAGAAGCAACCATTCTAAGTTGAACCGTGTTAAGTATTATGTACCTGGCATGCGGTACTACAATATTAAGTTTCCTTCGAGTGGCGGTACTGTGGCTAACAATCTTAAAAAATAGAGATATATAGCTTAGTTGTACGTTACCATTATTTGGAAGCTGTATATTAGCGTTTCAGAACTAATGGTATATGTATTATTAGTAGCGGGGGAGGGGCTGTTTAAAAGTTTTTGACTTGGTCTCACTGATACAGGATGATTAGAAGAGGCTTTACAGGGATTAGGTTCTCGGTAGTTAATTTGGAAAGAGGAAGGATATAAATGTAAAGTCAGTGCAACGTGCACGTCATAACATTTAGCAGAAGCGATAACAACTCAAAAGAAGCTACAATCAAGTGTGGACAAAGTTATTCTCCAACCGGTTGGTTGATGAAGGAAAAAAACTGTTCACATCAGTTTTAATGTAAAAAGTTAATAAAGTTAATAGGTTAAGAAAACTTGAAAGGCTTTCTTGTGAGTCCAACTAGAAATAAATTTTCCACCCCAAGTGTCTTACGTTCACGTGTTAAAATCAGCTGAAGTAACGCCACACTTTTAGAAATTTGCGCGTGTTTTCCTTCGCGAAGATGCCGGGCTACTCGTTCAAAAGCATTACTGTGGTGCCTTCGGCGAAGGTTTTGTTTTATTTCTATTTGACATTATTTGCAGGAGTTCATTGACATAGTCCTGTCAAAAACTCAAAGGAAGACACCAACTGAAATACACAAGCAGTACCCTATACCACGAATTCGCAGTTTTTACATGCGCAAAGTGAAGACATGCCAACAATTTTTCCATGATAAGCTTAACTCGATAGTTACAGAATTTCCAATGATTGAGGTAACTGTTTGTTTTTGTATATTTCTCAGAATATTCACCCTTTTTATGCAGACCTCATTAATGTACTGTATTCAAAAGACCACTATAAGCTGGCCCTTGGTCAAATAAACACAGCCAAAAATATAATCGATGGGTTAGTTTAATATTTTTTTAATATCGATTTTTCAAGTATTGGTCGTGACCAGGTAAAAATGCTGAAGTATGGCGATTCCCTATACCAATGCAAAACCTTGAAGCGTACTGCGTTTGGCCGGTAAGTACACGTCTTTCATTTTTTTTATAAATTATTTTCAGGATGTGTACTGTTATAAAGCGACAGGCTGACAATCTGAAATTCTTGGAGGACACTCGTCAGCATCTTTCAAGATTACCTTGCATTGACCCAGACACACGGACTCTAATTGTGTGTGGTTTTCCTAACGTCGGAAAGTCGAGTTTCTTAAACAAGGTCAGCAAAAATCCTTCAATTGTTTACTTTCGAATTATTTTGTTTGGCTGAAACAGTTGTGCGCCTTATGTTAAATATTGTTTATTCTGTAAAGATTTCATTTTTACGCAAGCGCTTCAGCTCCCTTTTCGACAACCTTTTAATACATTGTCCACCAAGTCATTGACCGTCCGAACAGTGTCAGTTCTGCACGATTTCCTGGCCTTTTCGTTTCCAATCAATAATGGAATAAAATGTAAACGACCCCATATTTAGAATTTTTTAAACTCGGTACATAAGCAGCTCAGTAAAATTGAGAAAAAAAAGACAAAAGTTTCGCCGTTATTTGTTTTTGCGTACGCTTTGTTTCAAAAATAGTCAAATATACCGGACTCTAATTGAATTACTAGAAAAGCCTCTGCTTAATTTATACAAATTTATACCAGTTTCATGTCCGTGGCGTGACGTTTGTTGTCCCCATTAACCACAATAGAATAACACATGAGGGAAAGATATTATAATTAGACGGATGACTTCGAAGCATAATTTCGCTCGTCATTTACCAAAACTCTTCTGCTTAATTTTAATGCTGTACTTCCTCGGAGTTCCCTCAATTACTCAGCGTGTTTTATTTTTTGTTAGATAACGAGGGCTGACGTGGATGTCCAGCCCTTCCCGTTCACCACAAAGTCTCTGTTTGTTGGTCACACCGATTATAAGAATCTCCGATGGCAAGTGATTGACACACCAGGTGTGTTGGACCGACCCCTCGATGAACACAACACAATCGAAATGGTCGCAATAACTGCTCTCGCCCACCTTCAAGCTGCAGTTGTCTACATCATGGATCTCTCAGAACAATGTGGTTACTCAATCCAACAACAAGTTTCACTCTTCAATAGCCTCCGACCACTTTTCACAAACAAACCACTCGTGGTGGTTGCGAATAAGGTGAGTTTGTATTTTTTGGCTAATCTTATCTGCTAACGGACTAATCTGTCCACTCGTTAGTCTTCTTGTGTCAAGTATAATCTCTTCGATCACACCTGTCATCCCATTTCATTATTTCCAGTCTGATACGGAGAACGGTTTTTAATTGCTATTCGACCCAATGCCCGTCTGTCAATGAGGATTTTTGATAAGCGATGTTATAGGTATAAATTTGAATCGAAACTACTGACGATCTCTGCAAAATTGTAAGCCTACATCCTAATGCTGAATTTATTTGTTCAACGTAGCATTAGGAATTTCTTCTAAAAAGTCTGAGAAAAAAACATCCGAATTGCATACCTTCATGCTCTTTTCATTTTCCTTTGAGATATATATGTTTGAAGAGGCCTCTGGTTTATGCTTAGTTCATGGATACAAGCGTGAAAATTATCTTAGTTTTCAAACAGCGATGTCACTCCTTGTTTATTTTAGCCCGTTGTTTATGCATCCAAGGTTTCTAAAACATCTATTGTATATCTTCCTTAAAGTTACTTTGTTTAGGTTTTCCACGCAGGGTTTCATGTTGTCGGAACAATTGTTAGTCGAAGCATTTCATGCATGTGTTTGTTGTGGATCTGATCTGCCAGCCACTTGCGCCCGATCCCGTCTCCTGTATTCTTGACTTAGTTTTGACATCAGGCCCGGGCAGTGCAGCGAATGCATCGCAAGTCACAGTGCTTA